GAGAAGCCTACTGTCTATTGATGCAGCTTCCAGCTTCTCCCAAAGCTTGGTCCTGGAAACAAATAACCATCAAAGATTTAACAGAAACAGAATTAGCTGACATTATGTACCACTCTTTGTGCAGATACAATTGTGTCAAGTACATCTGGTGCAGAATTAATCATAACACTAATGAGCTTCTCACTCCCATGACTCCTGATTTGAAGATGTTTTAAACAAATACTTTCAGAAGAGCAGATGTGCAACCTCACCTCTCCCTGTCAAGGACTAGAGGATATTCAAACTTCTGCTTTTTTTCCATAAACTTGCTGTCTTCTTTTATTGTGAATGGAATTTCATTTACATCACAGGGCAAAATTATATCGGTGGATTCAGTAATTTCAAATGTTCTGCGCTGTCCAAAATAGCCAAAGTAGAGTCCACGAGTTGAATGCCAAAGTCTATGAAAGAAATCCAAGCAAGAAATGTTTTAATAATATTGTCAACATTTAAAGAGAAAGAAAAAAGAGACTGGAGGCAGTGATATGGGGAGGATTCAGGTAATGTTATGAAAAATACTGATCAAGTACAACCTGCATTAAAATAATCTTTAATTGCTGACAATTCAGGACAATTTATTTAATTGTCACATTATATAAAGGTGACAATTATAATTTTTCATCAGCCACCCTTGGCAACAGTTGGCTCACAGGAAAAGATTACTGAATAGAGCACAAGCTGTAGGTAAGACCTAACAGCTGAACATTTCCCCTTTCTCTTCTTTAAAAAAAATAAAATTAACCAACTTTCGATAATGGCCATGTTTTTATGGTGGTGGCTAAGCTCCTGGCTCCACCAGGAGAGGCCAACAGGGCCAAGTAAGTTTCCCAGAACCCCAAGCCCCATTTTTAGGATGCATGGTTAGCTCCAGAGCTGATGGGCACTTAGTAAAGAACCATCTAGGCTAGTTTATGCTAGCATGCAAAACTGGTATAGGGAGCCTCAGACAAAAAACTTCCAAATCAGCATCAACAGTTAAATATAACTAACCTGACAGAACCATCAGTGGATGCAGTTACCACTACGCTTCTTTCATCATCACAAAACAGGCTGACTATTTTAGCAGAATGAGCTCGCCAGCAAATCTGTTGCTTTATATGCTGCAAAAAATATAAGTTAACATTGGCTGTCTTCACATGTACTATTAAGCCAGAATTTTTAACGTTGTTGAACAAGGCATGGGGGCCAGATTCAGGCACAACCCTAAGCCCTAATGGATGATTCTCACATCATGCCAAACCAAAAGCAGACAAACCACATTATGTCTTACTTATGTGTGAGATAGTCTATAATGTCAGACAGTTTTGGGACTATTGGTGGGTAACAGGAAGTTGTAATGTCCATGCAGTTGATGTTTAAAGAAGAGGTTGTGAAAAAAGGCATTAAGATTCTGATCTCAAATCCATGTTTTTATGAAGATGAGAACTTCAAATATGAGAACAACTGAAGTGCACTGAAATTGTTAATTTGATATGGAAACTGAAATGTTCAGAATTGAGCTAGAAGGAGAAATAGCTACCTATTCAACTGATGTGATGTCACAAATATACTGTATTTCACTATCTGGGCTTAATCCACATTTTATGAATTTTCTTCATAAGATAAGTTGCAGTTCAATCAGATATTTCAACAATTGTCCACCTCACAAAAACATAAGCATGAAATGCATGCCATCATGGTTACTTCCCTATTCTGTTTCAAACCTGGAGATCAGTAGTAAGACAGGAGGAGAGAGGTAATGGAAAAGATTGACAGTCTGCTTTTTACATTGAATTCAGTCAGAGAGATTTTCAGTCTGGCTTGCAAGGCCCATTGAAGTCAAAGTACTGCTATTAATACTAGCAATGAAACATAGGAATGATTACACAGCTATTACTTCTGCCTGAAAGCAGAATAAAATCAATCCATAATCAATCCATAATCACATTTCAACCTTCCTCTAAATCCTGATTGAGTTGAGGCTTCCCTAGAAATTAAAATAATAGAATTGGAAGAGGCCTTTTAAGCCAGTGGAAAAATCTTTGCTCAGTGCCATATTAAAGCATCACCAAAGTTACTTGTCCAGACTTGGATGTACAGTTTTTTTTTTTCTAATATTCAGTTCTGTAATTTAAAATCCATTATTCTTTGTATTGCACTCTGGAATGATGATCTTAACCTGTGACATCCCTTCACATATGTGAAAAGTGGTATCACATCACCTTCAGCCTTTTTTTCTGAAGAAAAAAATCCTAATTTTTAAAATATTTCTTTAGGGTTTTGTTTTTAGTTCCTGATCATCCTCTTTCCTTGTCCTTCTCTGAGACTATTATATAATTTCTAAAGTGTGACATCTGGGATTGGACATAATACTTGAAATGAGATTAACACAGAATAAAGTAGAAATATTATATCCCATGATTTTATACTTCTGTTGATGCAGCAGAAAGATATATTTGCCTGTGAAGTAGTACAGGTAGTCCATTTGAAGTTACAACTGTGCTGAACAAGTGGTACTTACGATTGGTCCACAAAGTTCCAGCCATCCCAGAACTCCCATGGTCACGTGATTGTGACCTGGCGGCTTGGCAACCTGCTCGCACTTATGACGATTGCAGTGTCCCGCAGTCATGTGATCACCATTTGCGACCTTCCCTGCCAGCTTCCCACAAGCAAAGTCAGTGTGGAAGCAGACAGTGAAGGTCACAAGTTGCTCCTGTAAGTCGCTCCCATTCCCACCACTTTTTCTCCTGAGGAGCCTGGCTACAGAGGAGGATCCTCCTAGGGATCTCGTACTCCATAACGTTCCCGCCCACAGCACCCCACCCGCCCAGCCATGCTCGTTCCAGCCACTTGCGTGCCCTCCTGCACTCCACAGCAGTCATCTCCTGCCTGCCTGCACTCATGCCACACCATCACCTGCACCTCCTCCCACCCTCTGCAGCAGCCACCCCCCTCCCGGCCACATTCCATAGCACTTACCCACCCTCTAGCCTGTTTGCCAGCCACCCAGGACTTTCTGTTGGCTTCCCCATTGACTTTGCTTGCTGGAAGCCAGCAGGAAGTTGCAAGGAGGTCCTCACTTAATGACCCACGATCCTCGCTTAACCACAGCAATGGTGACTGCTGGGATTGCCATTGATAAGTGATGCAGTCTCGGGACATCACACTTTACAACTGCATTGCTTAGTGACGGAAATTCTGGTCCCAATTACCATTGTTAAGTGAGGACTACCTGTATGTGTTTTCTTTTGTTAAATTTCATTTTGTTACGTTGTGCCAATTTCTTTCATTTATCAACATTACTTTAAATTTTATTTCTGTCTTCTAAGGTATTAGCACTTGCCCAATTTTGTGTTGTTTGCAAATTTAATAAGCATTCCTTTCACCCTATTCATTAAAATCATTAATACAAATGTTGATAACTAAAAGGCCCGGGACTGACCTTGTGACAATCTCATAATTGGTATAGTTTTATAATGCCAGTATTAATAACAAATTACTTTTTAATACTTCTTAGATTAGGCTATTAATCCAAATTAATAATCCAATCTTAATTTAAAAATATTAGATTATTAAACACTTCGCTAACTTCAAATGTGATTTTAACAGCTTTGTGAAATAAAAAAAAATCTGCATGTAAACTGCATTGAAAGCAAATCCCCACAGATGTTTCTTGAATTATACAAATCATTAACTGTTCTTATGTTTTATTTACTTTCAGTTTTTAAATTAAATCTGCATTTAACATACATATCAGCCAAGCAAAGAAGATGGATGATGTGTGAATCCATGTAAGTGAATTAATGAAGGATTGGAAATACTATTTTGCATTTTGCTCACCTTGTTGACATCTCGCGGATCTTCCAGGAAAGAGCCAACATTCCATCGGATAACATTCCCCTCTGTAAAACAGATGATCTATTAAAAAATATAACTTTTTCATATTACAGAATTGGCCAAGGACCAACCAGCAGCTTACAAGCAAAATAATATTTAAAACAATATCACAATATAAAAAACATCAGACATAAAAAACAATAAAAATAAAAAATACAGACACAAAGGAACGAAGCATAAAATATATTTTCAGCTCCTTCCTAAACAATTACAGTGGGTGGGCTTTTTTAAGAGCAAGTTTTGAAATTGCTGTGGAAAACCAAACTTGTTACTGGCATCAAATGTAGGACTCGTAAAAAGGCTTTCAGTGATGAACTCCTGAACACTGAGTTCTCAGCCCTAACGATCAGTAACGATGCCATCTTGTCTGAATTCAGCTTCAGCTTATTCTTCCACCTCTGAGTCCTTATAGCCTCATGAAACATGAAAGATCTGAAGATGTCCAGGCCTGAACTGGCAAGAAAGGAGAACTATAGCTGAGTATCACCAGCATACCCTGACTGCTCATTGGAAGGACTGATAATGAAGCTCAAGCTCAGATACTTTGGTCACCTAATGCGAAGAGAGG